TTAATAATATAGCTTAATAATATAGCTTAATAATATAGCTTAATAATATAGCTTAATAATATAGCTTAATAATATAGATTAATAATATAGATTAATAATATAGATTAATAATATAGATTTTTTTTTTGTTATGTTTTTTATCTATCAACTTATAATAATTATGATGCTTCCCGACCAGGGTACAGACTATGGGTCCGCTTTGCGAGCGCGTGATCAATTTTTATACTCAAGGAGTTTTAGGACTAGGAGGAGCGCCTGCATTTCCCTGTCAGATCATATGATGACGAATAGGGCTGGTTGGTAGTACTATGACTTTTTTGAACAACGCATCTGGGTAATTGGGGTTCGTTTACCACGACTGTTTCTGTATCAATATGCTTTTCGATTTTGTCTACACTATTTAATAGTCATCATGTTGATCGGAGAAAGCCGGGGGGTCAATTCGCGTACAGAAGTCTCCGAGTCCGACGCCGATTTGGAAAAGGGTGGTGGACTCACAAGAAGTAGAAGACTTCAGAAACTAAAAGTAGAAGTGTCACGATTTTGAGTTGTTAAGAAAGTAGTCCAGCAAGGCAATGAAACAATCTACGTTTTTGCGTCGAATCAATCAGGAGGTGGGGGGAGCTTTCACTTTGATGAGCGTCAAAAGTACTGATGCGTGCCTAGCTACGTTGGTGTGAGTATGCGCGAAATCGTTCTAATGCGTAGGGATCAGACCACTTCGCGTTCATTCCCGTTGATGCTTTGTTATTTTATGTTGGCAGATGCGATTAATCAAATTAAGTAGGGCGGGATTGAGTGTGGCGTTTGTGTTTTCCACCAGCATCAATTTAAATAGTACAAATCGCAGATCCAACATTCATCTTCCATTCATTCATTGAATTCACCCGTGACGAAGAGGATCAAATCTTGGATGGTACAAATTTATGCGCAATTATCAAAAATATAACCATGAAAAGAAGTGAAGTCTATGTTGTGAAAAGCAATATGAATCTGCTGTGAAAAATTCTGAGATGATACCCATTTATTAATAATGGAGTTGTGGCCACGTCTACGTCACGGTCTTCTAATTCTTCAAATGCCCTTTGTCTTTAAATGCTAGACCTCAGTTTTAGACTCTTCATCTCGTCGAATAAACGTTAAAGATGTAGATGCTTGTGTAGTCCGTCTACTACTTACTCGCTAGCAATGTTGCATTGTAGAACGGAACCGAGCGGCGATGTGGAAAGCTCTGTTTGCAGGTGTCTAGCTTGGCTATAGAACCGTCGCAACCAGCTCACTGGAGAGGTTTGGTACTCGCAGTGCTTGTACTTCACTAGTTCCCGTTCACTTTCATTGCTTCGGGCCTTCCCGGGAGGCACGAATCCATCCTTCAGGACCAGAGGCGCGACTCGGGTGTCCCGTGGTTCCGCCCAGGCTTGAAAACGATTATGATCACGTCGCACCAAGCCGAAGTACTGCATCAGGGAGGTCAGAAGCCCATGGTGCAGTTCGTTATCGGCGTACAGACTTCCTGCAAACGCGTGTAGCGGTACTAGATGCGTTAAATCCAAAGATTCACTCTGACTCATGAGGTGCAAACCCTCATGACTGAGCAATGGAGGCCCTGATTGCTGTTGTTGTCCCCGCGATGGAACATCTTCGAAGGATGATTTGACTCGCGCGGCAACCTTGGACCTACCGCTTCTAATGACAGCATTCGTACTGGATATTCTGCTTGCGTCCCGTCCACGGGCGGACGATGAAGAAGACGCAGACGCAGCGTTCGCGTCAGCGAGATCCTCTCTGGCTGGCACAATGAAGGTAGGTTGACTCGGAATTCGATCGGTAAGTACGTCACCACGCTGATCCATACGACTGATAGCGCAGAAAAGCCGCAAGTTGCGTGAATTCCGGAGGACCGTTTCCGCTTCAAAGTTGGACACTAGTAAAAGCGCCTCTTCTCCCGGTTTTGTGGCGAAACGTAGAACGAATTCTGGTGTCTTCATCGGCAACAGCGTCGCTGATGGAGCTTGGCCGGTAGCTGGCGACAGGGCGACTGCGTCATGACTCGTCGCTCCCATTGACCTATCCAAAGCTTGCTGTCCCTCGCGGTTCCTCTCTCGCTGCAAAAGCTCGAATAGTGGCTGATGAGCATCGATCGTGGTTAAAAAACCCTTGGTCACGAAGATGCGTCTGCACGGGAAAAACGGCCGGTCTTCAGAAGAGGACACCGGACAAACCAAGAAAACATCACGAAGGGGAGCAAACTCGTGCTCGATTGGTTCCTGGATGGTTACAGGGCAAAATCACTAAAGTCATAATGATTCGTCGTTGCAATAAGCTTCTACTTCTACTTGATGAGATATCGATGTGCTACACTGCAGAAAAGACGTCGTGTGTGTATAGGTTCCACGCATATTTATAGATACTTACATGAAGAGTCGCATTTTTTCAGACGTGGTACTGAAGATTATGACTAGAAGATGAAGAACGAGCAACGCAATGACAAGTGTTCAGCAATCGAGTACCTTCTCGAAATCGAAGCACTGTCCTCGGCTCAGGCGTCTGTTTAGTTCAGTAAGGCCAGCCGAGATTCGTGTAGGTGCGGGCTGTGGCGGTTTTGCCTGCTGTGTGTGCCTCTCGTCTTCGATCTCTTGCTCCATTTCGCGCTCTTGCTCATCGTCAAGCACGTTCACGTAGCGCGTAACATTTGGCATCAGCGAACGAACACGCTCCGGAATTTCCTGTGGTATCTTAGAAGCCAACGGTATTGGACACAATAGATCAGCAGAGGTAGAGGACAACATGAGATGATTACCAGCAGAGCAGGTAGAGGACAGCACCAGCAGCACCTCTGCCTTCTATGAAAATGTAGTCGTCGTCGAAGTGTTTCAAATTAAATACTTATGCAGTGGTAAAAATCGAAGAAATTTGCACACGGTCTTGCCTCACAGAGAGGCCCAGCTTCTGTCTACCTCAGTCTCATCCTCAAGTACATCGAGCCATAACCATCGCGTTATCTGTACAGAAATGCTGGAGCTTATTTTCCACAAAATCCGCAAGCTTTTGCTGCTTCCGCTCGTGGCCGTAGAGTTCTTCCAACGTGTAGGGCTCACTTTCCATACAGCCCTCGGCGTACCGCTGAAGCGCGGCAAGGTCTAGCTCGTCTTCGTCTTCTTGCGCAGGAGCTCCAGCTCCACTACCCATCAGCATAGCTTCTACTTTTCCATCCTTGTTATCCCCAACCCTCGTATCCAAATCCTTGTCCACTTCTTGCTTTTCCACCTTGGTAGCGCTTTTATCGGTGCCGTTCTGGCGTGGACTACACAGCTTGTCTTGGTCTCCAGGATTCCCCAAGCCTAGCAGGTGAGTGCTTCTAGCTTTCTGCTTGTGGAAGTGTGTTCGTGCTTGTGCGGCGACGTACGAAACAAGGTCGCAAGTCTGCCGTATGGTGTTGCGCTCAGCGAGGGCGACAATGTAAGGGACATGCAGCAGGTATTGTTGATATCGTACTGTTAGAAGAGACAACACCAACAGGGAATGAAAATATATTTTCCAGACGACACTCTTCAACATGGAAGATGACAGAAATGTTGGCTGTGCTGGAGGAAATTGAACTGCCAGCGCTCGTCTTGCCAGGATAATAGGAGGACATGAATCAATTCAAACTTAAACTGAGCTTCGTTTAGAGTGGCCTATTTTCATCCGCAGATGCTCAGCAGAATCGCGAGAAAGGTTTTTTATGAACTACGAGTACGACTTTTGTACCTTTAATTTTATGATTAAGTTCAACCGAAGGAAAAGTTTTCAAACAATGGAAATGCTTATTGAAGAAAAAAAATGATTGTGGATTCTGATTCATAGCATGTGCGCCCCTTGTTTTTGCTCAACACAACCTGGCGCGACGCTCGCGTCTCCATGTGTGCATGGTGTCTGGTTACTCAACTGCTCAGCAAACGCACGGTTGCACGCGTTGCGAGCTCTCTCGCGCTCCGCGTGAAGCTCATAATGTGCCGTGTCGATTTTCATCTGGTTCTCTGCGGTCCAAAGCATGCCCGCTGCTTCCGTGCTTAGCTTCAACGCCTGAAAGCCTTCGATTAGAGCTCACTCTCATCCATTTTGAGCCTCATCAGACGTAACACAATCCTAACCCTACTAGACCTAGAATGATGCTCCTAGACAAAGTGAGATGCACATGACTAGACAGAAGCTTCTGAACATGAGTTAGGCCTTAACTCGATTTTCTTTTCCAACTCTGCGATTTTCTTTTCATGTCCATTAGAACTATCATCATGGTCGTCCTCTTCCTGGTGCTTCTCTGCGTGCGAGTCACGTCGTAGCGCAGGCATTCCAAAACCAGGCGTGTCGCGCAAACCAATCTGAGAGATTACGTCATCGTAGTTTGTCAGCGTTCCCTGCTCAAGAAAAAAAGCGTCGGGCGTGGTATGCGCACGCCGCGCATCTTGTAAATCGAAACTGTGCAATGATCCTCGCGATTGTCGTCTATTAGTAAGTACTTTGATTTTATTACACGGAGAGCGATACTCTACATGGTTGCCTATCTGGGGGATTCTTTTAACAAGAGCATCGATGCTGATGTCGCGCGGCCTTTCTAGTTTGTTATACTTTATTTGCATTTGAAATTTCGCCTTAAGTCCAGCACGATCTGGCTCGTTAAGGTTGATGGAATCGGACGGGTTAGCTCCAGCTTGGGTCTTGATTTGTTCCAGGCCTCGACTGATTTCTCCGGTACCCGCAAAAACGACACTCTGTCCTCGACCGAGCTTCCGCATGCGCATTACTCCCTGCATAAGCCTATCCTTAGTCGTGCCGGGTCCCAAGGTGGCTAGGGCACGCGCATTGTTTGGCAGATCGAAATCAGCCCCGCGCGTGTGACTGTCGTCCAGGCACAATGAAGAAATCACGATCCATTTCCATCAACATAAGTCCATATTTATCTATCATTGTCTTTGTCAGCATCTTTACTTTCAGAAGATGAAGAAGTCTTTCCGGATCATGACATGAAAGGATATTACGATCGTGATAATAGGAATGGATAGCTTGCTGAAATTTGGCTTCATACGTATAAGAGGCAACCGGACATGTCCTTTTCGAAAGGCGACAACGCAAATGGAACGACTTCATAGCCGTCCGCGCTTGCGTGTATGTTCTTTTTTTCTGCTTCGCGGCGGGTCCGTGCCGCCCTGGACCCTCGCGGCCCAGGAAGAAGGACTTGAATGGCGTTCGATTTATCGAAGAAGACCACGCCCAGCGCCTCGGGACGTCGCAGAAGCCATTGTAAGCAAAATTCTAAGACGCCCAACTCCAGAATCAACGCACCAATATCCAAGACGACACTGATATCGTTTCTGAGGCCCAGCAAGTACAGGATTCTTTGCGTGTCGTTGTCATTCAATCTTTCGAGTTCTTGTCTCGACTCTTCGGTCGCGAAGCCTTCGCCAGACACTCGCCCAGTAGTGCAGCCAGGTTGAAAGATGCTACAGCCTCCATTATCTACAGCAGTAGTTTCATCCCAGCCAAATCCTGTGTCGTAGCCGCCATCCAGCGCTTGCGCCTCTTCCTCAAGCATTGCGGAGTGTTCTACAACACGAGAAATCTGTAGATTGCTCAGGCTAAAATACGTGTCGTTTTCTGGACGTAAGAGCATGCTTAACTGCCTGCCATTAGTCGCTAAGAGTTCTTCCATGTTTTCCTGCTTGATTGTCGAAGGAAGCACGGCCTTGAGATCGTCCGTCCCAGAGAATCCAACCGTGATTCCTTGCGTTCCGGAACTTTTGTCCCGACAGAGGTCCCACGCGGTGGACGCAAGGCGGTGCTGGAACTGGCGCGCTTCCGCGGGCAACACACTACGAATAAGCCAGAAGTCCACCACCCCGACATGCTTGCTAAAAAGTGGAACCAAATAAGTCGCAAACGTGTGGGTGTCGTCCAAATTTACGCCGTCAAGCTTATGCAAGGTATCCGGAAGCTGCGGCCGGAAAGTCATGCCAGCAAGGGATAGCTCATCGCTCTGGAGAGCATCAATCCAAGATTTATACTCACGCTTGGCATCAGCGTCAGGTAAATTCTTCAGCATCGTGAAAACCTCCCGAAGGCTCTCGCACGACAGGCCATCTTGGTAGTACGTCAAGAAAGTGAGCGCGATGGCCAAGTCCGGCTGCTGAAACTCCGTCCTCGGCGCTGCGACGTCCTTCGCCGTGTAGGGTACTGCCATGCGGCAGCCGACACGCGTAGGGTGGGCGCCGTAGTTTACACGATGCCGCTTCGTTAGCGCATTCGAGAGAATTCCGCTGGAGAGCACGCCTCGGCATGTCAGTGCGTCGTTCCTTTGGGTCTCGTTCAGCATATTCAAAAACTTCCGTGGTGCTGCCTCACTCTTCAGCGCGACCACCCGCCACGCCACTCTCTCCTGAGCCGATAATCCTCCCGCGCCATACAGTAGAGCAAATGCTTCACTATTGACCAGGCGGCTCGTGATCTCTTCGTAGACTGCGCTCTGCTTTTTGTCATCGAGTAGCCGAACGGGTCGGAAAAGGGACTTCGTCACAACACTTTCCGAAAATGTCGCGTCCACAAGCTCGATCACCTCAGGACCAAACAAACCACTTGAACGCATCTCGTTCGCGGCGTCGGATGCTGCTTTTAGGATTAGAGCTGCCCTCAGTCGTCCACTTTTTTACTTCTTTGCTTGTCACATTGTCGCTTTGATAATTGATTTTGATATTCAGTTTCAGATGCTTGGTCTGAAAGCCAACTACTAGGAAAGCTAACTGAACCTGCATACGCATAGGGCGGAGAAAAAGAAATGTGGATATATCATCTAGCTACACGGCCAAGTAGTTACTTTGAGCCTTAAGAGGATCTTTGCGATGATTTGCCATCGTTTTACGCCCCCGTGCGTCGGAAGATGCTTGCCTAACGTGTACTGAACTTGGTACTTCGGCGTAAGGATTTCGTCCGATTCATCCAAAAAATTTGCACAATTTTCGTCCAGGTATCTCGTGACTTCAAACAAGCCGCGCGCAGTCGCCTGGTCCTGACGCTTCGAGAAGCTAGTCAGTTGTTCGAGGGCTTTAGTTTCCAGCGAGAGGCGGTGCTCCGGCGTCGTGACGATGACATCACCCCTCTCCTTGCACTTGCGCAGCTGCGTTGCGAGCTGCTCCACGTCTTCTGAGCGCAGGATCCGGTCTCGGCGAAACAACAGAGGGACCAGCCGTCTGTTAAGAATGCCACCTAATTTGTGCTGCCAGTCCTCTAGGTTTGTGGAATACAACGAGCTCAGAACCGTTGCGCGTGCGAGCATGGCACCACACCCACGCGATGCAGCTGCAAGTAGGATTGGCATGATCACCTTGGTCTTCCCCTCGCCCATGTTGAATTGAATGAGCCGACTCTCGGTTTCCGACAACAATGTCAAAGCAATCTTCGCTTGAACTTGTCGCACGCACATTCCCGTGTCGCACTCGAAGCAGAGTATCTCTGGCCACGAGTCCGGGTTCCATCCTTTAGACCCGACATTCCGCAACTCGGCGGATAGTTTGTCACCCCACTTTTTCGCACAGAATAGCGAAAGGATCCTTCGCGCGCGCACTGAGTCGCGCACAGCCAAACCAAAATTGCGAACAGCATCGCACTGTTCCTTGTTCATTGTGACGCAAGAGTCTCCATTCGCCGCACGCTCGTTGTCATCCCGCGGCCCCCGTCCCTCTTTTCGCGTTGTGAAGGCATCTTCTTCATCACCCTCGTCTTCGCAGACTTTTCGTGCCTCACGCCCCCACTGCTGAAGCATTGCGGTTGGAGTTGGGCATGCCACCAGTCCACATCGGTAAGCGAGCTTGCCTTCCGCACCTTTCGAAGATACGAACTTTTGACAAACTATCGCCCAGCGTACCTTCGCCACTTCTCGAGCCTTATCGCAGTCCTGCGTCAGTCCTTGTCGGAGGATCGCCAGCTGATCGCTATCGAGCTTTTCCAGCTGTTTCAACAATTTGTCGGATCCAGCGTCTTCTTTCTCCTCTTTGGCTGCCGCCCAGCTCTGTAGCGTTTCCATCTTGCGTTTTTCTGCAAGCTCCTTATATTGGAAATTCTCGACCGTGTTCGGCAAATGAAGCCGCAGCTGCGGAGGTGCCTCACCCGTCGAGGAGGCTCTCTTAGTCTTACTCTCTGCGCCTACAACATCGTCAATGCCTTTGCAAACAACTCCAGCCCCTGAAGATGGAACTTTCGCTTTCCCGACTCGCTTCAGAAATGTCTTAAACGTCAGGTTGACGAAGAACGGCACATCTGGGCATTGCGACTCGTTGTCCTCTATCATTTGAGACATGCACTTCTTTGAAGCGGAGAAGACAAATCGCTCATGCTGTTGGTTCAGGATATTGGAGCTATCAGGCCCCTTGGTTGCTAGTGCTACACGAGAATCGCCAATCAGCGCCTGTCCACGCAGCCATTGCGTGGTCGACGACGATTCCGCACGCTGCGTTAGTAGTAGCCCACCCAAAGGCGGGTAGGAAGCAAATGAGGAAGAGAGCCACGCGACAGTAGTCCACCGCTCTCTGCTTGCCGCTTGATGGGCCTTCAGCTTCTCGGCTTGCCATTGAGACCGAAATGCACTGCCCACGAAGCTGCCAAAGCTACTGCAAAACCTCTGTAGATCCTCAGCCCGCGCAAAGTCGGCAAGAGCGTCGTTAACGCCTTTTGTTACGCTAGGCATGTCAACGACTTTCCCAAAGGATGACATTGTAGCAGGCTCTAAATCTTGCACAGGGTCTATTATTCTCGGGACAATCACCTTCGCCTCAGAGGCGTGTGTTTGCTGTTGTGCTGTGTTGCTCCCACGACCCGTCGTCAATGAGAAGCTAGCACTACTAGAGGCCGCAATATTCCCGAGGGGTTGCTGCAACGCATCTGCTGGATCCGAAAACTCATTTCGCCTTACGAGCGGAAATCCCCTATAGCAAGCATCTTCGTAGGCCCGCCGCGCAGTTGTGCAAAAATATGTTTCAACATCCTCCAGTGTTGGCAACGCAGGAACAGCACCTATTGCCGCTACAACGACCGCCCGGCGTCTTGCTGGCGCGCCTGATTTATGCCGCTTTGCTGGTAAAGACTCGTCAGTGCCGAAAAATCCGTTGCGGACGATGATTCGAAGCCTCTCTTCTTCGAAAAAGCGAAGACCGGCTTGGTTGCTGCCAGTACCTCGAGACGGACCGGCCGGTCGCGTGTAGTATCGATGCTGTGGCGCAAGGGGCGGAGAAGATGTTCTTGTCTCTTGTGCAACATCGTCCAGCTTCCGTTTCACGAAGCGCGAATTCGATCCAACGGAGGAAGCGGAACTACCAACAAAGCCCGGCACCATTGGAACCTCTCGCACCGACACGCGCGTCCGCGATCGCACTAGCATTTGCAGCATCAAAAGAACGGGCATGCAACTGGGATCATGAACAGCGAATCGGCTTAGGAATATTGTGATTTGCATCGCCTCATTTCTCGACAGAAGACCTCGTGATCTTGCTTCCTTGTTGTTGTTTTCATTTCTACTGCCAATAAATTGGTGAATCATGTCGTAGAGGGTCAAAAAAATTTCCCCGAAGTCACTAGCTGACTCACCCGATAATCCGATGTTGGTAGACGCTGGATGAGAAGTGAATTCCTGACGTCCGTCTCGTTCCTGATGTACTAATGTTGATGTTTGCGACGCATGCGTAACATGACTTCTCAATTGTCGAACCTCGTCTTCTGCGCCTTCTAGCTGCCAAAGCCTCGACTCTTTTCGCCCACGCGTCAGCATATCCCTTGCACGCCTTAGGGAAAGGTCAGCGACGTTTGAGACGAGAGCACGGTCTTCAGCGGAGACACCAGGGAGGCTAGCAGGGTCTCCTCCCGTGAGGAGTCGATAGGGCAGGCTTTCCCAGTCTACCTGAGCAAGCAAATGCGCCCGCGCCTCACATGGAAACTGATGGAATCTACCCAGCGCGTCAAATTGACGGAGCTCGTCTTGCCGGAAACCTTTCATGGCCGTATGAAAACCACTGACAAAGCTTCGGGGCTCTCGCTCATCCTGAGGGTCTTTTCCGTGCTCAGCGGGTTCTTGCACCTGTAGTACACTACCTGCTTTAACAACTGACGCGTCAGCCGGCTCGGCCTTGACACTGCTCTCTTCCTTGTTCATCGACGCACCACCAGCCACAACATCGCAATTAGGATCGAGGGCCACTGGGGAATACCACTCATCGTAAATGTCAGTGGGCCTCAAGACAGTCGAGTTTCGTTCTTTCTTGCTCAGCCGACACGAGTCGAACCCGAGAAGGACTTCTTCTCGCGACAGACGGAAGGACTGCGGGCAATATTCGAACCCGCGCAAAGCTGCATGAAGACGTTGTGAGTTGAGGCGGGTATTGCGCGCTCTGTGCCAGCGCTGTTCTAGGTTGTGGTCCTTATGCGTACGCAAGGCCTGTTCAAAACTCATTCGCTTGCTCGGTTTGTTAGCCTCGCGTCCTGCAAGGTCCAACGTCTGCAGAATTTCAATGAATCGACACTGAGCAAGACACGCAAACGCAGGTGGAGCACACCAAGGCTCCAAAGGGTGGCTCCACGCGCTGTACTCCTCGCCTGACGGGCGCCCGCCGACGTCTCCTCCCTTCTGAACGGATATCTGAAAGACAATGAAAGTGGCGGGTCGATCTACAGAAATATGAGGTTGGGAATTGAATTCTCTACAGCGACAAATCGACGACCTAGTAACCGTCATTCGACAGAGGACGTAAGTTTTGTATTTGTTCGCGCATCTTCACTGAAAATGGTAGTCTAACTTCTTGTTCTTTTTCAAACCACATGCACATCTACTTGAGTAATGGATGGAGGATGGTTGG